GTAGGCACTGACCTACATAGGTAGAGGGAATGCCTTCACCAACAGTTCCCTGTACAAAAGAAAGAAATCATAGGTCTGATTTAAAAGTGCAAAGTACTGTCCTAGGTGCTGAGCATACAGAGGTGAAAATGACCTAGTCTTTACCCTCAAGGATGACCGATTGAGAACTGGAAAGGTCTTCAGAGCTCCTCTGATCTAACCCCTCATTTTAGAGCTGAGGAAACAGAAGATCAGAGTAAGGGAAATGACTTGGCCAACGTCACATAATCGATAAGTAGCCAAGCTGAGATTTTAATTTGGGTCATCTAACTTCAAATCCATTCAGCTAGTGGGGACCCAACATTTTTGTTTGTTGTTGTTCAGTTGTTTCGGTCATGTCTGACTCTTTGTGACCCCATTTGGGGTTTTCTTGACAGAGATACTGGAATGGTTTGCCATTTCTTTCTCTAGCTCATTTTACAGATGAGGAAACTGAAGGACATAGGGATAAGTGACTTATCCAAGGTCACACAACTAGTAAGTATCTGAGGCCAGATTGGAACTCAAGTCTTCCTGATTCCAATCCCAGTGCACTGCCCAAGAGTAGAACTCAAGAATGTGAGGGAGGCGGGGAAGGAAGTGACTGAATCAGTCCATAAACATTTATCAAGTGCCTAGTATGTGCCAGGCCCTATGCTAAGTGCTGGGGAAATAGAGGAAAATCAGAGGAGAGTTTCCCCCTACTCACTTTGTTGCTCTCTCTTTATCTCTTCTACATGTCAGTCTCATTCAACTCAATTCAATTCAACAAAGATTTATAAAATGCCTACTATGTATAAGGTCAGAGACATGGTGCGGCACTGTGGTATGGGCAGGACAAGGTGGCCTCCGGGATCCTTCCTGACTCAGTGATTCTGTACCCCTAAATTTACTTTTCTTAGGAGACCATGGTGAGGAGCCAGCCATCCTCTTAAGCATTTCCATCCCTATTGTCCTGGGATCTGGGAGTACCTGGATGGCTTGGCATTCTTCTCCCATGGTTCCCTGGGATCCTGGTGTAAAGGATATGAAATCAATAACCCAGGGTCACATCTCTGTGGGACAGAGCCAGCCCTTTATTCTCCAGGCCTGGATCTGAAGCACTATTCAGAGAGCAGGAGGGAGAAAGGTGAGTGGCCAATTCAGATAAAATAGTCAAGGGGAAATAGTTGTATGCAGATCCAGCTGCTTTGTGGCTTCACCCCCCCAATATCCCGGCAGGGGGAGAATCTAGTTTAGCATCACAAAGGTGCCTTGTGGAAATCTTTTCCCCAAGATCACTCAGGCCACTGGGGAGGTCTCCTTTGAGCAAGGAGTCAATTTCCATATTAAAAATTAGGAGCCTGACAATCCTGGGAACAGGCTTCAGAGGTAGATAACATGAAGGGCAAAGCAGAGCAGAACTGAGCTTGTCTAGGATGCTCTGAAAGTATTTCTTTTTAGTACCAGGTCTATCCCATATGGGTCAGGTGACTGGAAAGGCAATGGAGTCACACTGTAAAGAGCACTGCACTAGGAGAGTCAAGGGACCTAGATTTGAGTCTCCCGTCTGCCCCAGGGCAACCTTTCTGAGGTTAAGCATTATCACAGGAGCATAGATTGAGAACTTGGAAATAATTTAGTCCTATTTACGGAGGAGAAGTTGGATCATATTCAGTTCAATCCAAATCAATAAACAACGATTAAATGTCTGCTGTGTGCCAGACACTGGAGATACAAAGACAGAAAAAAAGTCCCTGCCTTCAAGGAGCTTTCGTTCTACTAGAGAGACACAGCACCAGTACACATAAGGAAATAGAAAGTAATTTCAAAAATGGGAGGGAGGGAAGGAAACAGAGAGAGAGACAGAGACAGAGACTGAGCCAGAGAGACAGATAGACAGACAGACAGACAGAGACAGAGACAGACCGGAGGGATGTGGGGGGGTGCGAGAGAGAGCATTAACTGGGGAGATCAGACAAAGCCTTGCAATGAAGTTGGCGCCTCAACTGTGCTTTAAAGGAAGCCAAGGATTATAAAAGGAGGAAATAAGGAGACATGGAGGGTAACCTGTGCAAAGGCCCATAGGCAAGAGATGGATTTCATTCAGCTTACAGTTGACCAAAGGATTAGAACGGAGGGGGTATGAAGGAAAGTAACGTGAAATAAGGCAGGAAATGTAGGTGCGAGCCAAATTGTGAAGGGTTTCAAATGATTGAAGGTTTGTATTTTACCCTCCGGGCAGAATGACAGAGTTTGAGACTTAAAAGGAAATTTAGCAGCTATCTAATGGAATCCATAAAAGCAATGTCCACAATAACTTATCTGACAAGTTGTCACGTGGTCTCTGATTGAAGAACTCCAATGACAGAAACAGGGAGCCAGTGAAGTTTTCTGACAGGGGGGGTGACGTGGTCAGGTTTGTGTTTGAGGATTGTCATTCTGGCCTCTGACGATGTATTGGAGATGAGAGCTGCTGGGAAAAAGGATGCCAATTAAGAAATCATTGCAATAGTCCAGGTAAGAGGTGATTAACTTGAGAGCATGAAACATCTTCATTTTTTTCAGTCTCCTCAGCACTTAGCACAGACAGAAAATTGTTAATACCAAATGTAACATTAACTGATGTCTGTTAATCATCCCAGTAATGTCCGAATTTCAGTAATGTCTTCACATTCCTACTCTCGAGATAGTTACTCTTGATGCCCCCCAACCAGAGACTTTACCTTGTAAAGGAACCTAGCTTAAGCTGGATCTCAGCTTCTAAGGTCCTTGCCCCCTTCCACAGGGATTCATTGTATGAAGAGAAAAACAGCCAGAATGAAATAGTTTTCTTTGCCCAGAATGCCAAGGGCCACTGGGGTCTCATGACCAGGCTTTGCTACCTCATACCTTGCCCATCCTGGGTCTTGGAGTTGGGAAATCCATTGTGCTCTGCACTCATGGGACATGCCCCAGGATGGCAGGTTTACTACCCTGTTATCTCAGCTAAAGACACTTTATGCCTCCACTCATGGCTTTGATTTATTTCAGGACCTGACAGCACAGAATATGACAAATTGTGAGGGCTTAATAACTAAGTTCTTGTTGGTTGATTGATTCAACTGGGATAGTGGCTGTGTGAGTGGAGAGAAGGGGACAGCCATGACAAATATAAAGATGGTATGGACAAGATTTGACAAGTGAATATATATAAGAGGTGAAGGAGAAAGAGTCAAGAATGCTTCCAAGTCATGAATCTGGTGACTTTAAGAGCCCTCAACAGAAATAGGCATGTTTGTAGGAGAAATGTTTGGGGAAATTCATATTTTATTCTATTGAAATTAATTCAAGAAATGCTCCTTTTGCAAGATGCCATTATCTGTGGTGAGATTAGAGAGAAATCCCTTTCTCTCCCTACCCTTGTTGGAGTCCAGAAGAGGCCCTGGGGGAAAGTGAAGAGCACGCTCAAGAGCTGAGTTCTTCCTCCATAGCTGGCTCTCTTCTTGATCGATGCAGAGAGATTCTGGAACAAAGCTAGCTTGCCCATTTTATGTGGACCACAATGGGTACGACTTACCCTCCCAACCAATCACCTGAAGTTTGTGAGCCATTAGCTGCTTTCATGCAATGGTCAATTCCCCATAATTTTCATCTGATTGAAGTTCTCTCCACTTTGTTATGAAGTTAGGTAATTCCTTTTGCAGGTAATTTAGGTAATTCCTATTGTAGGCTGCTCAGGACAATTTCCAAACACCTCCTTTGTAATCCCTTGATGCAAGCAGACTGTCATATAGGGTCTTCATAAGCTACCTCTCAGGTGATGAGCCCCACTGCACTTAACCAGCCTGGTCCTCCTACAAGAGAAATACAATCCATCACCAAGTTCTTAATCAAAGATACTCCAGCTTAGTTTATGTGCATACTATTGTAACTTGCTCCCAATGGAGCAGAAAATCAATTTCCCAGCTCACCTTCCTAGACCCAGTCAAAGAAAAGTATTCCATCTTTATCTGAGCACCTTTGAGATTCCACGGTACCCCTTCTGGATCTCACCTAATTTATCCAAACCCCTCCATGTTCTTCCTATTTTCTGTGGTCTTCTTTAAGGTCACCAGAGCTAACTGTGGGCTTTGCACTCCGTCGCTTTCCAGAACAGTTATTTTTATGCAATGACTATGGCAAATCTAGTTATATCTGCAAGAGGAGTTGCAATCCTCTCACATTTGGCAAAGGAGGAAACTGAGACTCAAAGCAAACCAAGGCAGGTAATCCAATTCAGGCAAGGTCACACAGTTTTCAGTTCTACTAACTCAACGGGGAGAAAAGCTAAGGCGAGGAACATGACTGGTTGCTCCTGGAAGCATTCAACAATAGCCAGCACTTCCACGAGCACTTTAAGGTTGCAAAGGGCTTTACAATTACTATCGTATTTTACCCTCACAACAACCCTGGGAGATAGGGGCTCTTATTATCCCCATTTTACAAATGAAACTGAGGCGAGCAGAAGTCAAATACCTTGCCCCGGTTCACACATCTGGCAAGTGTCTGCAGCAGCAGAATCTCAATTTGTCCCGTTTCTATCTTATTCGTGAGTGGGCCTCCGGTCCCGGTTAGACTGGGAGCTCCCTGAGGGCACGATCTGTCTTTGCCCTTTCTTTGCACCAACAGCACCTCCAGCACACAGTAGGGACTCAATAAACTCTGCCTGATTGGCTTTCCCGAGAAATCGTGGATGGTTTGGGGGCCTCCAAGCAAAGGCTCGATGACCAAGTAGGGGGAGGGCTGGCGCCCGGGGCGTTCTGGTTCCGATCCAGGCTGGGCAGGGCTGAAGCAGCGAGCGACCCGGGGCCTAAGCCAGCCAGCCCCCATCTGACCTCAGTTTCCGGGCTGGGGGCGGGGCAGGGCGGCAGGCCCCACCTCCACACTCCGGGAGCCGCACGTACAGAGGGCGGAGGGGGAGGAGGAGAAGGAGAGGGAGGAGGAGGAGGAGGGAGGAGGGAGGAGGAAGAGGAAGGAAGAGGATGACTCCGCGCCGGCCGGCTCCACAGCTGCGGCTCCTACTCCGCGCCTTCCTCGGACCCATGGCCCTGAGCCAGCGCTCCGCGTCGGGCCCGGCTCCTAGGCGCGGGCCCCGGCGCCTCTCGGTAGAAGGGAACATCGGTAAGGCCGCCGAGCCGCGGGGCGTGGGTCCGAGCCGCGGGGCGTGGGTCCGAGCCGCGGGGCGTGGGTCCGAGCCGCGGGGCGTGGGTCCGAGCCGCGGGGCGGGGCGGAGGAGGCGGGGCGTGCGTCCGGGCCGTGGGCGGGGCGGAGGAGGCGGGGCCTGATTCTGCTTGGACAGCGGCTCGGAAGGCTTGTCGCGATAGGCCCTTGGGTGGGGTGGGTGGGGTCGGCCGAGGGCCTGGTCTGAGCATGCGCAGTGAGAGGCACCCAAGGCGCTGCCCGGGGGAGGGAGGCGGGGAGTGTTTTGGGAGCCGCGATCCCGCTGCGGCTGCCCACTGCAGTGCCCCGGGGGCCAGGAGCCCAGACCGGACCGGACCCGATCTGCATCCCCTCTGGAAGATGGAAGGTTTCCACTTGGAGCCCTCCAGTATCGGGGAGCTCACCACTGGTCCTAGACCCGGGGGAGATCGACCTCTCTGCACCGAAATCAATCAGTCTGGCGTCCCATTTATTATGTGCCTACTGTATACCAGCAAATGTGCTAAACTCGGGGGATGGGACCCCCGAGGAGTTCACAGTCTAATGAGGGCGGCAACAAGCAAACATAACAAATTTATACAAAGATGCTATATACCGGATAAATGGGAAATAATTATGAGAGCAGAGAACCAGAATTAAGAGGGGTTGGGAAAGGCTTCCTGTAGAAGATAGCATTTGGAAGCCAGTAGGCGCAGATTGAGAGGCAGGGGGCTGGGGGACACCTGGGCCCTTCGGAGTCGTAAAGCCAGTTATGATGTGTCTCCCCCCGCCACCCCCGTGGTGGTCACCTAGGTCTTCTTTTCTCCACAGCAGACACCCCCAGGTCATGCTCTTCTAGGCCCTTCCTCCTCTTCCTGGCTACCTCCCCCTCCTTCCCACTTTACCCGTGCCCTTCCTGAAACGTGGAGCCTAGACCTGGCCACAGGGCTCTAGAGAGAGATGGTTTGAATGGACCAGAAAACAGCAGACTCCTCTGTCTAGTTCTGGACTACCTTGTCTGCCTTCCCTTGTCTGCCCTCCCCTCTTGTACAGGTGGGGCGGACTTGGCATTTGAATTTAACAAACATCTACTTGTATGGAAGGCTTGGTGCTGCACCAGGGATACAGACAGAAAGGAAACAATGTCTGCCCTGAAGTTTGCATTTCTACTGACGAGATGCAAGGTAGACACAAATGATTTAATACAAAGTATACATAAGATAGTATAAACTTTTCCCCTGGAGAGTGATTGTAATCACTAACTGGAATATTGGCCAGGAGATAAAGCTCAAGGTCCCAGCCCTCATCTGGCTCCTGGGTGTGGGCTCTTTCTAGCCAACAAGGTAAAACGAGGTTATGAGCCTAGATGCTGATGGACTTTGCCCAGTTCTTCACCTGTTCTAATTATGCATGTACTGTTCAGCCGGAGCTTTAGGGAAATAGTGGGCTTGTCTCCGCCTCTCCCAAGTCAGAGTTGTAAAAGTCATCAGTGATCGATCACTGCCAGATGTAATGGCCTTTTCTCAGGACTTGCTTTTCCTGAGCTCTCTGCCACCTGTGACATTATTGATCTCCCTCTTCTACTGGATGTTCTGTCATCTAGATTTTCTTGACATTACTGTCTCCTACCCGTCTGACAACTCCTCAGTCTCCTTTACTGGTTCCTCATCTAGAATGAGGGTGAGAATGAGGTTGTACTGCGCCCCTTCACCACGGGATTTCCTCAAGCCTCTGTCCTGGTTCTCTTCTTTTCTCCTTCTATGCTGTCTTGCTTGATGATTTCATCAGCTCCCATGAGTTTAATTACTGTCAGGAAGATGATTCCCAGATCAATGAATCCAGCCCTAACCAGGATCATGTCACCAGCTGCCTTTTGGACATCTTAACTGGATGTCCCATAGACATCTCAAACTGAACACGTCCAAAGTGGAACTCATTCTCTTCCTCCACCAAGTCCTCTCCTCTTCCAAACTTCCCTATTCTTTTAATTTCCTTTTTATTTTATTCAGTCAGCAAAAAAATTCACCTTCTTTCCCTCTCACACTAATCCACACCCCTCCCTCCCCCAGTTGAGAGTGAAGGAAAAGCAAATTCCCTGTTATAGCCATGTGTTGTCGAGCAAAACGAATTTCCACATTGGCAGTGTCCAAGGTAAACACACACACACACACACACACACACACACA